CTCCAACTGTAGGGCCTCATCAAAGGGTTGTGGTTCCCTTTCATCAGCAACAGATAGTTTAAAGAAGGTACATACATATTTGGTACTCTGATAGTACAGGATGATCTTCTCAACACCAGTTCAGGTGTCACTTGCTTCACTGCTGATTCCTCCGCAACAACTTCAGGAGTTTGTTGAGTATCTGCTACAAGATCACGGGGTGATTTTCTCCGCAACTCAACCTCAACTCCCACTTCCTTTGTTGTCTTGGAACCTTGCTCCACATCTGGTTCCTTAGCAGTAGTCTCAGGAGTTTCTTGAGTATCTGCTACAACATCACTAGGTGAGTTTCCCTGCAACTCAAGCTCAACTCCCACTTGCTTCGTGGTCTTGGAACCTTGCTCCACATCTGGTTCCTCAGCAGTAGTCTCAGGAGTTTCATGAGTATCTGCTACAACATCACTAAGTGAGTTTTTCTGCAACTCAAGCTCAACTCCCACTCGCTTCGTCGAACCTTGCTCCACATATGGTTCCATTTCCAACCGCACTTTCTTCAATTCTCTGGCGGTCCTTGTGAAGCTAACTCGTTTCTGCTTGCTCATAACGTAGTTCTCACAATGACCCACATCAACAAATTTCAAACCTTCTAAAACTCCTTTTGTAGCCAGCCTCTTCATTCCTTTCGCGCTCATATGTTCAAGTCTATTGTGCCGTAGACTTGAATTTGAAGCACCCTCAGCAACAGCAGCATACACCCTGCAATGGTGTATAAGGTTCCAGATTTTGAGCCACGTGCTACCACCGTAGCACCCTTCATAATCTTCTACGAACTCTTCTCTAACTTTGTTGCATAACCTGTGTTGTCCAACTAACCAATAGAGATCAGGTTCCTTTTGAGACTAGGAATATATCTGACATCCTTTAATGTCCACTGATTTCCTGTCGGAGTTTTTATGCAGACATCTCCTTTTCCTTTAATCTCCAAATCTTTGTTGTCGGCAAGATACACCTTCTCGAAATTTCCAGACTTGAAATTCCGGAACAACTCTTTATTTGGAGACAAGTGAAAAGATGCACCTGAATCCAAAATCCAGGATTCAATCGAACTGTCCGCGCTGAGGATTAGAGCATCCCCAATGTCTTTTGCTAAATTTAAAGAATCATCATCATCTCCAGATTTGTGATTCTGCTTCCTCTTTGGTCTTGTACAACTTGTCCGAAAGTGACATTTTTCTCCACAATTCCAACACGTTACGTTTGGTCTATTTGGAGATTTTTCTCGGTTCTTTGATTTTGATGGCCTTTGTTTGGGCCCTTCGGTTTACTTCTTCCCCTTCGATTAACACTGAGAGCATTGCCTGATGAATCTCCAGTTTCTCGTTTGCGAATACTTTCGCTGAGAACTACATCTCGAATTTCACCAAACTTCAGTTTATCATATCCTCGGGAACTGCTGATTGCGGCAACAACAGTATCCCATGACTCGGGTAAGGATGACATCAAAATCAACGCTTTAATTTCATCTTCGAAATTAATTTCCACCGAACTCAGTTGACTTATGATCATACTGAATTCATTTATATGATCAGCAACAGGTCCACCTTCAGACATCTGTAGATTGAACAATCTCTGCATCAAATCCACCTTGTTCATAGCCGATGGTTTTTCATACATATTTGACAGCGCCTTCAATAGATCTGACGTTGTCTTCTCCTTGATAATGTTAAACGTCATGTTTCTAGATAGCGTCAATCGGATCAGCCCCAAGGCTTGTCGATCCTTGAGCTTCCACTGTTCCGTGGTCATGGTATCCGGCTTCACCCCCAACAGAGGTTCGTGAAGATCTTTCTGGTACAGATAATCTTCAATCTGCATCTTCCAGAAACCGAAATCGGATCCATCGAACTTCTCAATTCCAATCTTTGAACTTTCCATCTTCACAGATCGTGGTGAATTTTGTCTAGCTCTGATACCAGTTGTTAGGATCGCACAACAACGCGCACGCTCGATCTAGATGAACACAAAGAACAGGATAGAGAAAAGTGCAAGGAGAACTCTGGCTAAAAGGATTTTTTTATTGATGACTTCACGTATGTATAGTAAGAGAGAATTACAGAGAATAGAAAGTACATTTCAAAGCTCTACCGGACGGGATATATATATAGTTCAGTTTATTATATATAGCTTTACCAGATTTAACCATCTACTATATATAGCTATTTACCATATATATCGGATATAACTTTACCGGATATAGCTTTACCAAATATAGCTTTACCAGATATAACCGTTGACCAAGCTATAAATAAGCAGCAGGCTCCATAACCTAATAGAAAGGGGGCTGTAACACTTTTTTTAATAGTATCGGAGCAACTATTTAAGCAATTTTTTTTTTACTTCTCCAAGTTTTTAGGGTTTTCGTGGATGAGCTAGAATGGCAGCCTATGCGTAGTAGAAATAGGTTTTCGGAGATTAAGCGTGTAGTGTGTAGTTTTGTTTCGACTTGATGACCTTGTCTGAAGAGTGTTGGGAGAGTATTAAATTGAATGTGTTAAAGGTTAGGAGACTTGTTTGAAAGAGTTGTAGAGAATGATTTGAAGGTGATGAGTCCTGTTAACATATGCTTTAAGATCACAGAATTACGTTTGGTTCTTTGTGAACAAGATGGTATACTTCGTTTCTTTCTAGTATAATATATTATGATGAAAACTGTGTTTGATCTGCTGTGCGCATCATTTGTGTGTGTCTATATATACACACACACAAGGGCAGGGGAAAGAGAGATTCTCCCCGAAAAGAATTAGTTGTTACTAAGACACGGCCAAGAAGCTAGAAAATGAATGTGGTACAAAAAGTATTGGGGTTAGTGATATCTTCTAAGAGGTCGTTTGGTTTAAGACTTCATAGATGCTTGGAATTAACGGTTGTTACTAAGACACGGCCAAGAAGCTAGAAAATGAATGTGGTACAAAAAGTATTGGGGTTAGTGATATCTTCTAAGAGGTCGTTTGGTTTAAGACTTCATAGATGCTTGGAATTAACGGTTGTTACTAAGACACGGCCAAGAAGCTAGAAAATGAATGTGGTACAAAAAGTATTGGGGTTAGTGATATCTTCTAAGAGGTCGTTTGGTTTAAGACTTCATAGATGCTTGGAATTAACGGTTGTTACTAAGACACGGCCAAGAAGCTAGAAAATGAATGTGGTACAAAAAGTATTGGGGTTAGTGATATCTTCTAAGAGGTCGTTTGGTTTAAGATTTCATAGATGCTTGGAATTAACGGGTATCTGTCATTGATATGCGAGGAAATAAGATTGCTAGGTATAAAAGATTATTGTGTTTAGTTGTGCACGATAACTTTGGAATTTACAAGTACAAATTATGTTTATGTTTATTTTTTGGAATTTACATGTACGAATTATGTTTATATTTATTTTATGGAACTATTGGAGATAACCTTATATATAATTTAATAGATTAATTAATTAAAAATATATATATATATTCAAAATATCACTAAAAACTAATATTTTTTAGACCCAAAATTAATTTATTAAAAATAATAAATCCTTTTAATTGGATAATTGAATATGATTTTAGCAGATAAGTTCATTAATTGATATATTTTTATCGACAAAATTAATTGAATAAATAGATGATTATTATTAATTTTAATTTTAATTGATTACTTATGATACATTCATAATGAATGAAGTAATAAAAATTAGTCAAAGACAGTTAGTTGATTATAAATAATCGATTAATTAGTTATGGTAAACCAAAATCAATTAATTAATTAACTATATATTCAAAGTAAAATTACAAATAACTATATTCAAAATAAAATTGAATAACACGAGCAGATCATGGATCTTCTTTCATTTGCTAGGATCGGCCAGAAGTTCTCTGAGGTTTTAGTTCTCTGAGGTTTTAAAATGTGTTGTTCTTTTAGGTTTATATACTGACTGCCTGTGTTATTTATGGTACCTGTTTATTTGTTCATAACAGATGATAATCAAAGCAAGAACAATGAAGAAGAAAATTCCAAATGTACAAGTAAGAAAGAGGAAAAAATCGATAAGCTGAAGCGTGCTGCAGTTACGACGCTTGCAGCAGCAGCTGTGAAGGCAAAAGTTCTGGCTAATCAGGAAGAGGATCAAATTCGTCAACTTGCCATGATATTAATCGAGAAACAGGTATCTCGATCAAAGTTGGTTTCGATCGATTTTGATTACATATTAATGAAATTATTACCCCTTCTTTGGGCAGCTGCATAAGTTGGAAAGCAAGTTAGCATACTTCAACGATATGGACAATGTGTCGATGAGAATCAGAGAGCAACTGGACAGGTCAAAGCAAAGGCTTTTCCAGGAACGTGCGCAGATAATTGCTGCTCGACTCGGCGTACCTGCTTCAGCATCACGAGGTGTGGCACCACCAGGAAACAGAATGGCTATGAACTTCCCAAACTCAGTTCCAAGGCCTCCAATGGGCATGGCGCCCCAAAGGCCACCGACTTCTGGACCACGGGTATAGCTTAGCTTCTACTAATCCTAACCCAAAATATGCAACGAACCAACACCAGTACCACAATTTCTGTAAGTTCATTTCACCTGCAAATCATCAGGACACACTTTCTTCTGTTGGTTCCAAGTAAATCAAATATTAGCTTACTGATAGAGATTGCAACCATTGTAATACAGCAGAATTCACTTCAGTTTACTGTATAACCCATTTGATGTTTGCGTTGTATTAGTAGATTTTGGAATTTGGGAGGAAAAAGAGTATAATTTAGCTTGCCAGATCTGTTAGCCACAAGCCCTATCGCTATGCCCGCTAACTAGCTCGTTATCAATTTTAGATTTTTGACAGTTCAAGCTGCCATAAGAATATGCTCGTGTTCGAGTGAAAAATTCAAATATCTGAACTTTTAGTTGAGGGTATATACCTCAGATAAGTTCATATAACTTTAAATTGCCACTACACAGATAGAAAATATATTGGAGCATGAACCAAAGCATGAACAGAAGAACCAGAATCATCCTATCATAGAAACAAGAATCACAAATTCTCTTAAAGAAAAAATCCCAAAAACTCTGACTGAGAAGGAACAAAATTATATGAACTTATGCAACAACAGATTGTCATCAACAAATGAGGCTCAGGCACAACAGGTTCAATCACCAGACGGATAATGAATTATACCTACGACAGTAAACACAATTTGCATAGACCAAACACAACTGAACGGATAATGACGGGACTCGTTCAAATGCAAAACCCAAATGTACAAATAGGAACGCGTAGAAAGCCTGAGTCCGTAAGACCTTTATAGAAGACTTCTGCTTTACTGGAGAATGAAATGGAATAAGAAGAGACTCGGTGTATCGAACTCAGCAGTCGCATCCAGATGATCTTGACTGATTGTTGGTTGCAACATCGATTGTGTCAGGTAAGTATCTGCAATAACATGGCAACCATCAATCAACAAAGGTTTTGTGAAAGTGAAAGTTAATAGCCAGAAGGTGGACCAATGAAGCATTGATGATACAAAGTTTGAAGCAACGAAGTTAGAGAATTTTGAAGAGCAATTAGGAAACGCAGCCATTTAGGAAGAACTAGATTCTACATATCCACAGCCTCGGGTCAAAATTACAAACTAATTCTACTGCTAGAGCTAAACTATAGCTCAGCGTTATGTTCGCTATAAGCTATACGATGCATTTGGGATCCGGCCCACATGCTGCCAATCTACGACATGCAATAAGCACATGCCAATCTTGGAACCAAAAAATCAGGTGAGTTTTCCCAATCGACTGTTAGAAATCACGACCCTCCACGATAGTATGATATGATATTGTCCACTTTGAGCATAAGCTCTCGTGACTTTATTTTTTGTTTACCCAAAAGACCTCATATCAATGGAAATGTATTCCTTACTTATAAACTCCCGATCAACCCTTGTGGGACTCCTCTCCCAACAATCCTCAACAATCCTCCCCTTCAACCTAGTACACCATAGAGCCTCCCCTGAGGCCTGTGGAGCCCTCAAACAGCCTCCCCTTAATTGATACTCGACTCCTTCTCTGGAACCCTTGAACAAAGTACACCCTTTGTTTGACACTTTAGTCACTTTTGACTACACCTTTGGGGCTCACAACTTCTTTTTTCGACATTTGAGGATTCTATTGACATGGCTAAGTTAAGGGCATGGCTCTGATACCATGTTAGAAACCACAACCCTCCACAATGGTATGCTTTTAGTTTACCCAAAAGGCCTCGTACCAATGTAAATGTATTCTTTACTTATAAACCCATGATCAACCCCTATTAGCCGATGTGGGACTCCTCTCCCAACAATCCTCAACATCAACACCTATATCAACTCGAGTTGTTATTGCCGGGTGAATTTCATGATTATGTAACGAACAGTTACTTTGCTTCGTATTTTATGTACGCGTACATCAAATAACTGAGAATGGAATTCAGAAAGACTGAGAGTTAATTATATATTTGATTCTCAGAAATTATGGTTTGGCATATGAACTTACATCTCTTCCTCTTCCCCACTCTTGAGGGCATTTTTCGCAATGCATTCGAAAGCTTCTTCTACGTTAATGCCTTCTTTGGCAGACGTTTCAAAGTATGGAATATTTCCTTTCGACGCGCACCAAGCTCGTGCCTTTTTCTCTGAAACCTGAAATATTCAGAAAAACAGAACATTTCACTATCTTCTGGAGATAGAAAGAGGAAATGATACAGTATAGAAAATTAGGCAATACTTACAACTCTACTGTTTCCACCATCAACGTCGACTTTATTTCCTAAAACAACAAAGGGAAAATTCTCCGGGTCTGAAGGGCTCGCCTGCAGATGGTTTTACAAAAATGTCAAAAGATGTTCAGGTTTCTTTTCAACTTATTTGAATTCTTCTAATGGCTTTCTGGTAATGAGATAATCAATGAACACAGATGAAAAAACCTGTATAAGGAATTCTTCTCGCCAGTTGTTAAGGTTGTCAAATGATTTCATTGAATTGACATCATACACCAGAACGCAGCAATCGGCACCTCGGTAAAAAGCAACACCGAGACTTTGGAACCGTTCCTGGCCTGCTGTATCCCATATCTGTAAGGCATAAAGGAATAAATTACATTTAACAGGATATATCGAGTCTCTTTGTTGCTTGTTGGCTTCATGGGTTTACATTAATAAACCTATATGCCACAGCTCTCAGGAGATGGCAATGAAATGCTACTAAATGGGATCTAATCACTCAAGGTTAAACCGAGTCCAATACACGAAACAATGCAGCCTTCATAGCCATGTTCTTGCTACTCATAAATGATTACAACACAAGTATCCGTTTCAAAAGGTCATCCAAGAAATTGGTATCTTCCCAAATGGATCAATCGAGTTCATAACATTTTCCATATGAACACACACTAGATTGAGGTGCCTTTGTGCACTTTTTTATCACTATCAATTCAAGGGAATTCACCAAATTAGAGCAATAAAAGAGCATAGTTTCCCCACCACCAACCTGCAAAGTGAAAAGTCTATCTTCGAATTGCACCTCTTTAGTCAAGAAATCAGCTCCAATGGTGGCCTTGTATTGATTACTAAACTTCTTATTCACGTATCTGTTTTTCAAAGCTAAAGAAAACCACACGGAGAATCAAGAAACTGATACTACAAAAAAAAGAAACTCGAATGGAAAATGTTGCATTATAACATAGTTATAATTCAATGATCAAGCAGGATACTGGTTCATCAAAGAGGTCTTCCCAACCCTGCAAATTCAAAGCCAAGTTTCAAGTTATCATAGATTAGACTTCAAACAAACCAAAACCTTCAAATAACAGCCTAATCGTTTCAATTTTCTCTAGTACTATCAACCAAACAAGACAAAAGCCCCTTTCTCAAAAAGTAAACAATAAAAAGAAGCAAGAAAAATCCAAGAAACTCAAAGCACCAAGCAATTCAAAATCGGAGTAGACAGAATCTTGAGACCCCATTTGAATCCCGGCCAGATCAAAGGGCAGCAAATTCAAGAATCCACAAAAGAAAATTCCCAAAGCTCGGGAAGTAACGATCTGGGTGGATCCACGAGTATTGAAAAGAAATCCGAATATTAAAAGATCAGAAAGAGAAAGAGGAGAAGAAGAAGAAGAGGGATTTGCTCACCCGCTATCCCCAAGGATTATGACCTTCAAGAGGGTTCTTCTGCGGGAAGGCATCGTAAGGGAAAAGGGATCAACTCAAATCTGTAGACAACACAGAGAGAGAGAATTGGAAGAACAGAGGTTTCGAGTCTCTCTCTCTCTCTCTCTCTCTCTCTCTCTCTCCCCCTCTCTCTCTGATTAGACGACGAAGCCAAGCTGGAGGGATCTGTGATTGGGAAAGCCTACGAACATTTTCATTTCATTTCCCCCCTTCTTCCTTTTATTTCAATAAGGAAATAATAATAATAATAATATTAATAAACAATAATATTATGTATTTAAACATAATAATAATAATAATAATAATAATAATAATAATATATATATATATATATATAATCGATCTGATTAGTTATATTTTTTAAAATAAAGTATTACTAGAGATGATCACTGGAGGTTGTCGTGTAGTGGCGGGTACTAGTCACTAACGATGGCTTTTAATAGTTAGAAATGGTCGTTACTATATGCATCAGTGATTGTTGTTGATAATGATCGTCAAAGATGTTGTTAATAGTGGTCGTCAATAGGCAACAATTGTGCGAGGGTATTTTGGTCATTTTAAACGTGAAAATTTGAGAGATTTTTAAATTAAATACTAGATTTTTATTTTTTTTATTTCTAAAAAGTTGATTTATAATGTTTTACCTAAAATCATTTATTAAAAAAAAAAAGTCATTTTGAGTATAGGAAGTAATTAATGATATATTTTACCAAATAGAATAATTGAGTCTCTTAGGTTTGAAATTCTATTATAACCAGTAATAATAATAATAATTTACTAAATTATTAATTTGTATTTAATAAATTTTTTATCTAATTAATATTTTTTTTAAATTCATGAAAGGGTTAGACAAAACATACTTAAGAATTAATAAATAAAAAATCAATTTTAGCTCGAATAGAATTAATTTATTAAAAAATAATAAAAATGTTAAAGAGAATATGGAACACAAAATTAAAAGTTCACTATCTTCCCTAGTTTTCATCCCTAATTTTCAGATCATGCCACCTATAGAATATGGAAAAGGTCGGAGAGGAGGATGACCCCTATGAGATGACTGAGGTAGTACTTGTAGTTAGACTAGATCCCACAACCACCCTGAGTTCGAGTCATTTTAGGCCATGATGCAGACCATAGTGGTCATCCAGTAAACCAATAACACAAGAGGCTAGGTACTTGTGAGATTTCAGGAGGTGCGACTCTCGTATCTTTAACGGGATCTCGGAGGATTTGACAGTGGTGTAACTATGGATGTTGTTGATGGAGACGATCTTCTGTTTGATGAATTACCTGAATAACTAGAAAGTGTCATGTGCATCGTTCATGTGCAAGTTGACGCCGAAATATAGTGGGAGTCCACTTAGGATATCTTTAGTCTGGATGGAGGTGTGATCTTCTAGTTTAAGTTTAGGGAAGCATTTTGGAAAGAATATTACCTAGAGGTGACCCGACTTTAGAAACAATGGGAATTCACCCATCTCATGTAGAATGAACGCTCCTTCACTAATATGGGAGAGAGTTTATGAGAACGAAGCAATTTACCCCTGCAGTTGGCACAAAGATGAATATGACTCAGAGCAGCTCAGGATATGAAGGAAACTATAGCTGGAGAACTTTGAGGGCTAGTAGCACCGACAACCATAGTAGGACAGAAGCTACGATATGACCAAACAGAACCACACTATTAGCCACCAGTGCGCCAACAATAAAACACAGAAAAACCCCGCATGGACCCTAGGCATGGTCAGCAATCAAGCTGATAGCGGGATAAGAAAAAAAAAGTGATGTGTAGTAGGAAACACAAGAGATGATGCTTGGGCCAGACTAGAGCATGCTTCCGGTGCGCCCAAAAGGGACACATTGCCATGAATTGCCTAGGAAAAAGCATTGAAAACCCGATTAATTAGCCAAGACACGCAGGTGGGGAGGCCTATGCAAACCCACTCCCAAGTAAGAGCGTATGTCTCCACTAGTAGAGACATTGAAAACTCCGACATAATAGTGACGACACTTTGTTAGTTACGGGGCATCTACCCTAACTTTGTTTGATTTGGGGCTTACCCCATTCTTTATATATGTTTTCGTTTGCTAATCAGACACAATTTCAATTAGAGCCTTTATTGCATGTACTCTATGTTAGTACTGCAATAGGAGTAGTCTTAATTGCGAGGAATAGAGTGAAGGGGGTTAAGGGTCTATTCAAGGTAGACCACTAGATATAACTCTGATAGTTGTTATATGAGTGATTTTGATGTAATATTCAGGATGGATTAGTTAGCCAAGAAAATTCGAGTATAGACTATCATAGAAAGAAAGTAGTGTTTTCGTCACCGTCACAAACCAACATCAAATTTAAGGGCACTTGTACGGGAGCTACCCTAGAATAGTCTTTATGTTGAAAGTGGAGATGCTAATCTAGCTCGGAGTCTAGAGCATATGGGCTAGTGTCGTAGACACAAAGAGGGAAGTAAAAGTCTCCCTACATCATTCCAATGGTGAACGAGTTGTCAAATGTGTTTCTGAAAGTTTATCATGAGTACCCCTTTCCCGAACTATAGACTTTTGCATAAAGCTCGAATCGAGTACTAGCCTTATCTCCAAGACCCTGTACCACACGGCACGAGCAAAATTGAAAGATCTCAAAGTACATTTACAAGACTTGTTGAATAAGGGTTTCATCTGTCCTAGCGTGTCCCTTTGGGGTGTGCTTGTGTTATTTGTCAATAAGAATGTCTTTTATATTAACCAATGTCCCTACAGTGTTCATGGAGTTGATGAACCAAGTGTTCAAGAAATGTTTAGACACATGACACCCTGATGTATTCTAAAATGGACTAGGAACACAAGCTATACATCTAGAAAGTCCTAACAATCTTAAGGGAGAACTTATTGTATGCAAAACTCTCTAGGTGTGTATTATGGTCACGGAAAGTCTCGTTTCTAGGGCATGTGGTGTCAAAGGATGGGGTTTCAGTGGACCCCGCATAGGTAGAAGTAATCACCAAGTGGGCTTATCCCGACTACAGTTATTGAGGTAAGTAGTTTTTTGGGATTGGCAAGATACCACCGGTGTTTCATGCAAGACTTTGCCAAGATAGCCTCACTACTCTTGTAGTTGACCAAGAAGGGTGTCGGGTTGAAACACAGGTGAGTGACGACCCTAGTGCTCCTGGTTTGAGAGGGTTCAGGAGATTATGTGGTTTACTCTGACACCTCCAAGAAAGTTTTGGGGTGTGTGTTGAATGATTAGGAGTAGAACTGCACCAAACACGAATCAAACCATACGGGTTGGGTTGGGTTGGGTTACCCGAGTTTTTCGAACACCAATAAAGCATGATATGAGGAAAGAGAAAAGGCATAGTGTGGGCCAGGCCCATATTGATTAAGCCCACCGCGTTGATTGAAGATGAAGGTCCAATCCATAGTTCAATTTCTGATGAGCTTTCACTTCAATCGAACAAACTTCAGCAGTTCAGCTTCTCTCCGGTAGTTGTTCTTCTTTGTTCACAGGCAGTTCAAAGCTTGCTTTTCTTTGCTGGTCGTCTCGAGATCTCAAAGATTCAACTCCTTCGCCCATGGCTCAGACTTTCATCAAGAAGGACGACGACCGCGATGACGAAGGTACTGCGCTTTTTCCACTCCCTCGAATGACCTTTCATTTGCACCCATAATCACTCTAATTCTTCTTCTCTCATTTCAATTTTACTATTCCTCAACTTGATCCTTCCGGACTTCTGGATCAGTCTTTTGGATGGTAGATCTATGTGTCTTCGTCGTTTTGTCTTGCTTTTTTCGTTATGTTTTAAACTTGAAGGAAATTCGTCTTTGAGTTCTCTTTGATCCAATTTGGTTCCGTTTATTCTAGTTGAGTTGTTGGAATGCAGTTTGTAATGTGCCTGTTGCTTTGAATACGATATCGTTTTGTGTATTTTCCATCTCTGTTGTGCTTTTGTTAATTTGATGACTGGATAAGATAGTGCTGTTGTTTGGATCTTCTGTTCCGTTTGGGATTGCAATTCTGTATCAGCACGAAGCAGTATGATGTTTACTCTTGGTTTCTGGCATTTACAGATGAGTATTCTCCGTTTATGGGGATTGAGAAGGGTTCTGTTCTTCAGGAAGCTAGGGTTTTTAATGATCCTCAGTTAGATCCAAGAAGATGCTCTCAGGTATAGGTTTTGTGCTATGGAATTACTTGCGATAGTTTCCATCTGACTTCCCTCATACTACACAATTCTTCTGTATTCATATTTTCTGCTGGGTTCATGTCTTATTTTTTAGGTTATCACGAGGCTTTTATACCTTCTGAACCAGGGTGAAACCTTCACAAAGGTCAGTTTGATGTTGTCTTGGTGTCTCATTTCTTCTTTTTCCATTTAATAGCACATCCTTCATAGGTATTAGTATTAGTTGATGCTTTTTCAATGCGTTATTTTTCAAGGATGTTGAGTTTGACTGATGGATGTTTGTATAATTTGTTCAAATGTTGACAATGCACAACAATCTTGTTAACAGATTGAAGCCACCGAAGTTTTCTTTGCTGTGACAAAGCTTTTCCAGTCAAGGGATATAGGGTTGAGAAGAATGGTTTATTTGATGATAAAGGAACTGTCTCCATGTGCTGATGAGGTTAACACCATAATCAGGTTAACTTGAATTTTTCTGTAGTTGTACATTCAAAATTATGAACTGACACATTTCATTTCATCTTTAAAGGTTATTATTGTGACTAGCTGCCTAATGAAGGACATGAATAGTAAGACTGATATGTATCGGGCAAATGCCATTCGTGTGCTTTGTCGGATTACAGATGGAACCCTTCTTACCCAGATCGAGAGGTATCTGAAACAAGCAATTGTAGATAAGAATCCTGTGGTAGCTAGTTCTGCCTTAGTTAGTGGTATTCATTTGCTCCAGGTATTAATTTTCCAAACACAAGGATATGCATCTATGAGCAATTTTTTCTATCATTTTCTCTTACTTTTCTTCTTTGCCACTTCTAATGGCAGACAAATCCAGAAATTGTCAAGCGGTGGAGTAATGAGGTCCAGGAAGCTGTTCAGTCAAGGGCAGCACTTGTTCAATTTCATGCTCTTGCCTTAC